CATGGACACAGGATTTTTTGTCCTCTTCAATTTCTTTCATCAGTGTTTATGTCCTCTTCAATTTCTTTCATCAGTGTTTTATAGTTTTCAGTGTACAGATCATTTACCTCCTTTGTTAAATTTATTCCTAGGTGTTCTTTTTGATACTATTGCAAGTGGGATTGTTTTCTTAATTTCCTTTTGGGATATTTGGTTGCGTATAGAAGTGCAACTGATTTTTGTGTCGATGTATCCTGAAACTTTACTGAATTCATTGTTTAGTTCTTTCAGTGGCATCTGTGGGTTTTCTATATATAAAATCGTGTCATCTACAAAAAAGTATATTTTTACTTCTACCTTATTTGGATGCCTTCCATTTCTTTTTCTTGCCTAATTGCTCTGGCAAAGTCTTCCAATACTATGTTGAATTAAAGTGGTGAGAGTGCACATCCTTGTCTTCTTCCTGATCTTAGAGGAAAAGTGTTCAGCTTTTGACTATTTTACTGTTGACTCTGATATTAGTTATGGGCTTGTCATATACACCCTTTATTATGTTGAAGTACATTGTTGGTTCACAACCTCAGGAACTTCTTGGTTATAATCTGAAACCAGCCCCTATATGCAGAGGGCAGGGAGAGACCAAAGAAAGAGGCAGACCACTCCAGATTGGTATGTGGCAGATTTAATAAGCAAGGGAAACTACATAGGAGGCTTGTCTGAAGTGGCCACAAGATGAGTAGATCTCCTCATGCACCTGCCAAATCTTAAAATTTTATATAGATGCCTTAACTGGGTTCAGTCACATATACTGTCCAGATGGTCTCAATACCATATCACTGTCTCAAGGCTATGTCTTTAGGACAGCTTCTGGGAGCAAGGAAGGCAAGCAGAATGCACATTCAAAGGACTGGGGAGGGGATGAGGACCCTTTGATCGCTGGGATCCAGCTCATGGGTCAGCCAGTGGTCACACCCTCTCAGTGACCTCCCCCAATATACATTCCTTTGATACCTAATTTATTAAGAGTTTTTGTTGTGAAAGGATGTTTAATTTTGTCAGATGCTTTTTTTCTATATCTATTGAGATGATCATGTACTCTTCATTCTGTTACTATGCTGTATTGCATTTATTGATTTGCATATGTTGAACCATCTTGCATGAGAGGGATCGATCCCACTTGATCATGGTATAGGATCTTTTAAATATGCTATTGAATTCATTTTGCTAGTATTTTTTGAGAGTTTTTGCATCTATGTTCATCAGGGATATTGGCCTGTAATTTTCTTTTCTTGTAGTGTCCTTGTCTGGCTTTGATATTAGAGTAATGCTGGCCTCATAAAATGAGTTTGGCTGTGTTCCATCCTCTTCAATTTTTTTGGAAGAGATTGAGAAGGATTGGTGTTAATTCTTCCTGAACGTTTGGTGGAATATACCAGTAAAAGCCATCTAATCTTGGACTTTATTTGTTGGGAGATTTTGATTATTGATTCAATCTCCTTATTCATTATTGGTCTATTCAGATTTTCAATTTCTTCATGATTCAGTCTTGGCAGGTTGTATGTTCCTAGGAATTTATCCATTTATTCTAGGCTATCAAATGTGTTGGCCTGTAATTGTTCATAGTAGTCCAATATGATCCTTTGTATTTCTGTAGTATCAATTATAATGTCTACTCTTTCATTTATAATTTATATATTTGAATCTAATCTCTTGTGTTCTTGGTAGTCTGGCTAAAGGCTTGCTAATTTTGTTTATCTTTTCAAAAAACAACTCCTAGTTTTATTGATTATTTTTATTGTTTTCTAATCTATTTCATCTATTTCTGCTCTAATCTTTATTATTTCCTTCCTTCTGCTAACTTTGGGCTTAGTTTGTTCTTTTTCTGGCTCCTTGAGGAGTAAATTAGGTCATTTATTTGAGTTTTTTTTCTTAATGTAGGCACTTATCACTGTAAACTTCTTTCCTAGAACTGCTGTTGCTGCATCCCATAAGTTTGGTATTTTGTGTTTCCGTTTTCATTTGTCTTGATATTTTTTTGATTTCCCACTTAAATTCTTTGACCCTTTGGTTGTTTAAGATGTGTAGCTTAATTTCCACATATTTGTGAATTTTTCAGTTTTCCTCTCATTATTGATTTATAGTTTCTTATCATTGTAGTTGGAAAGGTACTGATATGATTTTAATCTGCTTAATTTTATTAAAACTTGTTTTGTGACCCAACATATGATCTATTCTGGACAATGTTCCATGTACACTTGAGAAGAATATGTATTCTGCCAGGGATAGAATGATTTGTATATATCTGTTAGGTCTATTTGGTCTATAGTGTTATTCAAGTGTTCTGTGTCCTTATCCATTTCCTATCTGGATGATCTATCTATTGTTCAAAGTGAAGTCTCCTTGAAGTCTCCTACTATTATTTTATTATTACTATTTCTCCATTTGTTAATATTTTCCTTACATATTTAGGTGCTCCAGTGTTGGGATACTTATTTTTATTTACAATTGCTATATCCTCTTGATGAATTTACACCTTTATCATTATATAATGATGTCTCTTCTGACAGTTTTTGACCTAAAGTCTATTTTTCTGATACGAGTATAGCCATCCCTGCTCTCCTTTGGTTATTTTCATGGAGTATCTTTTTCCATCTTTTCACTTTCAGCCTGTGTGTGTCCTTAAAGTTGAAGTGATTCTCTTATAGTTAGATCGTGTGGGTTTTTAAAAAGCCTTTCAAGCACTCTGTCTTTTGATTGAAAAAATTTAATCAATTTATATTTTTTTAATTTGTAAATTCAACAAATGTTTATTGCACACTGTGTATCAGGCACTATGCAAAGTGCTGGGGACATAGAGAAAACAGCCTGATCCTCAAGTTCACAGTGCCAGCATTCAGTCTATTTTTGCAGCAATGTTTGAACCATCCCCATTTTTACAGATGAGGAGAGCGGTACAGTCTGGCTAGAAATAACAGCTAATTAAGCATGCAGCCGGGGAACTCAAATCTAGGCTGTCAACTATAGCATAAGGCCTCTCAGACAACACTTACTGTGTTCCTGGTAGTGTTCTAGGCACTTTATAGATATCAACTCATTTAATCCTCTCAGCAGTCCTAGGAGATAGGTACTATCATACCCATTTTATAAATGAGGAAACAGGCACTGAGAGACTAAGTAATTTTTCCACAGTCACAGAGCTACTTACAGGCAAAGCTAGGATTTCAACCCCAGAAATTCTGGCTCTTTACTACACTATACTGCCTTCTGATAGGTTTTTTTGTTTGTTTTTGGTAGTTTCTTTTTTAAAGGGGGAGGGGTAAAACCGGCTCTTGAAGGTAGCACCCTTTCAGTCAGAGAAGCAGTACAGTAATGCTGTAGCAAAGTCATGGAAAATGTATTTGTTTGGCAAACTACACAATGGCCAGTGTCTAGAGATCATTGATTGCCTGGCTGAGCATTTTGAAGTTCTCTAAACCAGTAGCCATCAACCATTTTTTTCCTACAACCCATGGTAAGAAGTAATTCTATATTGCAACCAAGTATACACACACATACACATACTTTATATTTTATATGTATATTCATGATTATATGCTGAAAACTTAAATTCCTTAAAAGAATGCTTCCCATTCTCTGTGCCATGCACTCTGATACTTTTTATTCTATTTTACTCTGTTTTTTAAAGGCTGATTTAACCCCCTAAATTGATTTCATGATCCACACTAAATTGGTGGTAACCCAGTATGAAAAACACATTAGGCACAATGTGAAACAAGTAGTAGAGATACATAAAACCAGTGATGTGCTTTGAAAGATAAAATTAAACAGCAGCAAAAATGATCAGAGAAAAGGAGACTGGGTGGGAGAATACAACAATACAGTGAATGGGAATGGAGAGAACATTTCAGAAGCTTTTGTTTAAGACAGAATATTCTGAACTTACTTATTGGATATGCAGGGAAGGGGAGAGGGCAGAACCAGAGATAATGCTGTGGTTTCCAGCTTAGGTGGCTAAGCATATGAAGTGCCTTTAAAAGGAATGGGGAGGGCGCCTGGGTGGCTCAGTTGGTTAAGCGACTGCCTTCGGCTCAGGTCATGATCCTGGAGTCCCAGGATCGAGTCCCACATCAGGCTCCCTGCTCGGCAGGGAGTCTGCTTTTCCCTCTGACCCTCCCCCCTCTCATGCTCTCTCTATCTCATTCTCTCTCAAATGAATAAATAAAATTTTAAAAATAAATAAATAAATAAAAGGAATGGGGAAGTCAGGGGTCGAGGCAAGTATATGTGCATGTAAGATGATCAATTCTATTTTGGACAAAGAATGTTGGTAGGATTTGGAGGAAATTGGGAGTAGGTAATCTGACTATACCACAGTAATTGAGATTAAAGCCAAACAGAAATGTAGGATTTAACCCAAGAGGGTAGTTCAAGTTATGATAGAGAATGAGATACCCCAGAAATAGAGAAGAAAATGAAGGATTAGAGTAGTACACTTTTATGGTTAAGAGAAGAAAAAAAAACCCAAGAGGAAGAGAACTTCCACAAGGGAGTGAATTAAAAGTGGCAGATGCTACTGAGATAGAAAGATGACTGAGAAAAAGCACTGGATTTGGTTAATAAGAGTAAAAGGTACCTTGAGTGAATAGTGGGAGAAGCCAAATTCAAACAAGTTCGGCAGGGAGTGACGGTAAGAAAGTGAAATAAATTCAAGTTTGTCCAGACCCCTCTCTGAATGTGTTTTGTCCTAGAAATGTTGGTTGGATTAGTAGTCATATGGCTCTGTCTCACACTTGCTTGCTTGCTTGCTCTCTCTGTCTTTTTATTTTCTTTGCTCTGTGGCCCTAGGAAAGTGTCCTAGCAATCCCAAGCTAAAATCTGCTTGTTGGTCTCTTCTGCACTGTCAGTGCCTGGTACCAGCACCTGCCACAGCCCTGGCCTGGATGTGAGAGGCAAGGCAATGAGCATTTCCTGGACCATGAAGTGGTCACCGTACATGATCAGGCAATGCTTTCTCTGAACAGAACATCCACACAATCACCAAGCAGTTGAAGTTGGTGGAATGGACCTTCTTGCTGCTCACTGCCTGGAAGAAGGTCCTCATCGACTGCAAACCTGCTTCACAGACCAAAGCCCAGGCCAAGCCAAGGCTGCTGGTGACCTCTGCCCCAGAAGTAATCAATTTAGATTTAAAGTAATTATTGATAGGTAAGGACTTACTTTTGCCATTTTGTTAATTGTCTTATGATGGCTTTATATTTCCTTTTTTTCTTTTCTTCCTCTCTTGCTGTCTTCCTTTGTGATTTGATTGCTTTTTTGTAGTGGTATTCTTTGATTCCTTTCTCTTTATCTTTTGTGTATCTACTAGAAGTGTTTTCCTTGTGGTTAGTATTAGGATTACATAAAATAGCTTATAGTCTGTTTTAAACTGATAAGAACTTTACTTCGATTGCATACAAAAACTCTATCTTTTACTTCTACCTCACATTTTATGTTACTGATGTCACAGTTTATATCTTTTTATAATGTGTGTTCATTATCAAATTATTGTAGCTCTCGTTATTTTTAATACCTTTGTCTTTTAACTGTTATACTAGAATTAAAAGTCATTTAAGCACCACCATTATAGTATTAGATAATTCTGATTTGACTGTATACTTGCCCTTACCATTGAGTTATACTTTTATATGTTTTCATATTATTAATTAGCATCCTTTCATTCCAACTGAAGGAACTCCCCTTAGCATTTCTTGTGAGGCAGGTCTAGTGGCGAAGAACTCCCTCAATTTTTGTTTTTCTGAGAAAGTTTTTATCTCTCCATTTCTGAAGGACATCTTTGCTAGGTATACTATTCTTGTTTGGCAGGGTTTTTTTCTTTCAGCATTTTGAACATATCATCTCACTCTTTCCTGGTCAGTAAGGTTTCTGCTGAGATATCCACTGATAGCCTAATGGGGTTTCTTCTGTATGTGATGAGTTGCTTTTCCTTTATTGCTTTTAAATTTCTTTTTCTCTTTGAGTTTTGAGAATTTGGTTATTATGTGTCTCAGTTTAATCTTCTTTGGGTTAATTCTATTTGACTATTTGAGCTTCATGCATCTGGATGTCCATGTTCCTCCCATAATTTGGGAAGTTTTCTGCCATTATTTCTTTAAATAAACCTCTGGTCTTTTCTCTCTTCTTTTTTGAGTCACATAATGCAAATATTCATTTGATAGTGCCCTATAAAACCAATAGGCTTCCTTTACTCTTCTTCATTCTTTTTTCCCCTTGATTGGATAATTTCAAATTATCTAAGTTCACAAATTCTTTCTTCCATTTGACAAGTCTACTGTTGAAGCTCTATTGCATCTTTCATTTCTTTCATCATACTCTTCAGCTCCAGAATTTATTTGGTTCTTTTTTAATGATTTCATTTTCTTTGTTGAAATTCTTTTGTTCATGAATTGTTTTCCAGATTTAATTGCATTGCCTGTTTTCTTAAAGCTTTCTGACCTTCCTTTTTGAATTATTTGTTAGACTATAGATCTCCATGTTTGAGGCATTGATTACTGGGAAATTATTACACTCCTTTAATAGTGTTATGTTTCCTTGATTTTTCATATTCCTTGAATTCTTTCATTGCCATCTTTGCATTTAAAGCAATCACCCCTTCTGGTCTTTACTGATTAGCTCTGAGAGAGAAAGACCTTCACCAGTCAGCCTAGCTAGGCACTCTGGGGGTCTCTCAGACATTTGCTATGGATGTACCCACTCCACTCCTCTTGTTCCCTCTTGGGGGTAATTTTAGGATTGTATGCACTATCTCAATCCTACAAAGCCAGGCCATGTGCTGAGAGCCTCCCATTTATTTTCCCTAGACAGTGCCCTGAAACATTCAAGGTTATGTGCCTTCTCCCAACCCAGCAGAGTTGAGCCACCTGTATGTGCTTGTGCACAAGCTATAGAGGCTTGCATGTGTATTTTGTGGGAGTGTGGGGAGGGGGGCAGGCACCAGCTCCAAAGAGGTGAGGGATGCATGGAGATCTAGGGGTCACTTGCAGAGTAATTGGGAGAGACTGCAGGTGATGTATCATACAAGGTTTATGAGTGGGCCTCTTGGCAGATTATGCAAAGTGAGTAGTAGAATCCATGACTCTTTGTTGACTTCAACCCTCCAGTTATTCTGAGTCCCCACCCCTTTTCCCTGCTCCTTGCTGCCCCCTGACTACTCAGCTGTGCCAATCTCCTAAGTGTCATGGGTAGGATGAGAATGGAGCAGCTAAGGAAGTCAGATACTCACTTTCCCCCATGGGAGAAATCACAGGCTGTAGGGATCTCTCTTGGCACTGAGCTGTGCTGCCTTTGGGGAGAGGTTACATAGGTAAAGTGAAACGGCTCTTGTTTATCATCTTCAATGAGTCTATTCTCAGATTTTTTAGCTCCAATGAAGTGCTAGAACCTCTCTGTGGATTTCTTTTTTTTTTTTTTT